AGACAGACAGACAGACAGACAGACAGACAGACAGACAGACAGACAGAGAGACAGACAGACAGACAGGCGAGCTTGCTGGAAGGTTTCACTGGCTCTTCCCTAGGTTACATAAACAGTTCCCGCTCTGGAATTAATCCGCTTCCAGCTAGCTAGCACAGCCGCTAACAGCAGGGCTTTTTTGAGACTGTTAGCCGACCTGACTCACTCTGCAGCCTGCATGCATGCACATACACAGTGACGCACATATGCACACATAACAGAGGACAATGACAGTGTCTTTCACTGTATCCCCTTCAAATGAGCGTGATGCTCTCACACTAATGAAATGCCCCCCCCCGACCAATTGCAGCGGACATTCATCAGCACGGTGACTGAAATAGGAAAGCGTGATCTGTTTATCTGAGCAGCAGTGTCACAAGAACTTTCATTCGATTTTTGCCTCCATTAGACTACATGCCGTGATAAACTCCGAAACATTTGCAAAGGAGCACAGAGGACTCAGAGAGCATTTTGTCATGTTGCAACAACAATTACCAGACTACCAGAGCAACAGGAGTCTTTCCTGTCCTGGTTGTCATCCAGTGAGAGGAAGTCAGGAGGGTGGACTCACACAAGTAACTCGGGGTCCAAATCAGTAAAAAAAACAAAAAAAAAAACTGGGCTGAACTCACGACCCTCTTTAGTAAGATTACAGAGCAGTGTGTGCAACAGGCTCCCAGCCATTGCTCTGTTCTTTGTGGTGGTGGCATCAACACTTGGAGATCAGCAGTCTCAACAAGCGGTTAAGAAAGGCCAGCTAGGTGATCAGTGTGGAGGCAGTGAGGAGGACGAGGGACCAAATCAAATCCCTCTTGGAGAATCCTTCTCACCCTCCGTACAATGAGCTGTTGCAGAGAGGAGGATGAAGGACAATATTAAAGCCTGAGAGTCATTTCTCATCCGAATCAAAGGGCTGAGGATAGAGGATGTTTGCTGTACAGATTGTGAAATACATATAAATATATATTTGGATAGATAAATAAAATTGATTTGACTTGACGTTTATTGAGAGAGAAAAAACCAGAGTCAAATTCCCTGTATGTGTTCACATGCTTAGCCAATATGGCCGATCCTGATAGAACACACAGTTGTAGCAATGACAGCAGACAATGCTTCAAATATGGCTTTTCGCAGCAAAGAAGCTACAAATTCTAAAACATGGATGCTTCACACATATCTCCAACCCAGCAGCACAGAAGATCTGTACATTCACCACATTTACAAGGTCCAATCAAATGTTAAATATGTTCAGAATCTCCCCCTCTGCTCCCGAGTTATGGTATTGAATAATGGCCAGAAAAGAGTTTTTAGGGAACATTACGTTGTCACGGTGAAGTTGACCTTTTGGATAAAAAATAAATCACTTTGTTTTTCTTCATGTATATTTGTATGAAATAGTGTCATAATTTGCGTATGAATTTGTGAGTTATAGCCAAAAAAGGGGTTTTAAAATCAGTTCATCCTTAAATCCAATTTGACATTTGTGACAGAGATGATGAAATTCCCTCCAGGCGATATCGCGTTCACGAGACTACATATGGACAACCCGAAAATATAATGCTGTTGCCGTCGTGGAGGCATAAAAAGACTGAAAGACATCTCACAAATCTGTTGCAAGCGTGTACATTTACAGGAATCTGAGGTACAGAGGGGTGGGAGTTGGTGGGCATAGTCTTTCGTCTTATTTTGTGTTCAGTATCCCAGGGAGTCTCTTCTCACCTTCAGTCATGAAGTAGGGGATGCGAAACCTTCCTTCTAGGACTCTTTGTCGAAGTACAGGCAGTGTGGGCCCATCGAAGGGCAACGCACCACACACCAGCACATATAGCACCACTCCCATACTCTGTGAACATGAAACAATGCACACACAGAGAACAAGGTCAGGGCAGTAGATACATCAATCAGAGGTGTCTGGGTGTAAATAAGGTCATCAGATTATTGCGTTCACAAACGTACATGCTACAAACGCACAGACACACAACAATATGGTAAATAACTACAATACACAGAACACTACAAACTGTGTTTGTGCAATCACCATTTTTAGATATAGTATATCAAATACTATATAAGAAAAAGTGAATTGCATCTGCTGATTTCCTGTGGCTTAGTAAAGTAAATATTGCACACAAGAAGAGATTGACAGAGTTCAATGCATGTGTCCTTGTATTTATTAAAATATATAAAAAATAATGAGGTACAATGGTCTACTTCATGCAATCAATCATCTTACCCAGATATCTAGCTGTGGACCCTCATACTGTTGGCCCTCAAAGACCTCTGGAGCAGCGTACGGTGGGCTGCCGCACCATGTGGCCAGAGGCTCCCCAGGCTGGAAGAAGTTGCCGAATCCAAAATCTACACAGGGCAAAAACAGCAGGGGGTTGGGAGGTGGGGGGGGGGGGGGGGGGGGGGGGGGGGG